GTCTATTTATTTTATGTAAATTCTTTTCATATTATGACATCTGTTTAATATATTGTAATGTAATTGTCATCTTTGATAATGGCTTATGTAATCCGAAAGCTTAGATAGGATTAAAAAATATGTATCAGTATTGTGATTTTCTTTCTTCTTTTAATGATAATGTTATTAAGCTTATCAGATATGAAAAGAATTTACATAAAATAAATACATAAAACTTTTCTATATTATTTAATGAAACATGCATCAATAAAAAAATGCTGCCTAAATACACACAATATATGTGTGTGTGTGTATACATATATATGCAACCAAGTTGTAGTAGCTGCCATTTCACCAGATTGTGAAGGAAGGTATGCTTGTTTTCAATATAGCAAGGACAGGTTAGCCATCTAAGTTCACCAGCTAGTTGTGCAAATGTTGTATTTTGTCTCTGGGTATGTTATGATGACCACAGTATCAGAGAAATGACAAAAATTAATTTATTGACTTTTATTTTGATCGATCTTCCATATGTTTATATACACATTTATAGATCTCCTTTTCTACTCACTTCTCATTGATTCGCAGCCTTATATCCTGATTATGAAATCTTTCGGATTAGTTGGTTAAATTATTTTTAGAGATTGTGAAATTTGGGTCTCTTTGTTATTATTTGTTTATTTCTTTTCTTACATCTAGGTTGTGAAAGTTTTCTGATTGGTTGGTTGAACTATGGCTTTGTTTGCCCCATGATTTTTATTATTTGTCAATTTTTTAAAGATGATGAAATTTTGGTCTTTTTTTTATTTATTTATTTCTCTATCACCACAGTTATATATGTTCAGTGGCAGATTGGGTCTAAAAATATTGGTTGCCAGGAGATAAGGAGACACACCCACAACTACAATCATTTAATTTTTATAACAAATGAATAAGATTTTCAAAAAATTCATATGGAAAAAGAGTACAATTAAAATTTTTATGGAAAAAATGTGTATTTCTTAGTAATTACAGTGCAAATGTATAGTACATATTACTGGCAGTTGGTACCAAATATAGATACTAAAAGGCTCTTTAAAAGATATAGATTTCAATCTTGATTTCTGTTTCTTCTGTGAGAAACAATGCACCTCATCCACAGGTGACAGCCTATTTTGGCTGTCACCTGTGGATGAGGTGCATTGTTGTGCTTTTCTTTCTGGGACCTTATTTTTATGCTTTTAGATCAAAATTTTCATGCCTTCTGGTCTCTTTGAAATTTACACCATCTTCAAATATTTTTGTTACCATCTTATTGAAAATTATTACATCTTTTTGTCAAAATTTTCTTTACCTTCTAAAATTATCCACTAACCCATCTTCTTATATATCCCCAAAAGAAGATCTCAACTTTTAAATTTACATGGGTGGAAGCCACCCCTTTGATTGAACAATAAATGCAAAGCTTATATATTTTTAAAATTTGAAAAAGAAATTACAAATAGTTCATCTTGAATGAATTATTTCTGGCAATTCTTTTTGAGCCAATTCTATATTTAGAAATTTTAACAAACAAATTTTTCACATCAAATTTAATTTTATATTAACTATCTGACTTTCTTTTAAATACATTTCTTTTAAAAATAAATGTAAAAGACAAACCTAGATTATTATAATATTTATTTACCTACATTTTTTTATTAATCATTTATTTTTATTTATTTTTATTAATTTCTAATAATAGAAAAATTATAATATAGCATGTTATAATTTTATCTTTTATTTATTTTGTTAATTTTAAGTAATTGGTTGATATTTTAAATAGATTACTGCACAATTTATATATTAGCAGATAGTTCAAAAGCATAATAGAGCATTGCATGCAGTCCACTATATTAAGAGCAATCATTTGCATTCATTAGATGAATGCCTATAATTGCTACTACATTTAATTCGTCTAACAATTCCTTTTTAATAGATAACAATATATATTATTCCAAATTCTCCTCAAACATCTAATTTCTTAAGTTTACTTTTATGATCTTTAGCTTTGAAAATGTCCTCTCACATTGGACTTGAGTAACTGATATTGTGCAGATGACTTTATAGAGTTCTTATTCCTTTTATTACTAAAACATTGTTTGTTTCTGTTATGTTTTGCATACCTCTCTGCATAGTAGTAGTTGTAGTACTGTTCTCCATGTCCTGAATAGCAACCAGGTTTGCTAGGTATAGCCACCCTATGTTTGCCAGTTGTTTTCTATTTATACTTGCCTATCTAATTTGCATATGATACTACGGTTTCATTATTGCATTTTTATTTGATACTAGCAGCATGGCCCGGCGTTGCCCGTGCTTGATTCAAAATTCATACGACTTATACAGCAATTGCTATCACTTGACTTTAAATATTTTTGCCCTTCCTTGCCTTTAAAGGAGTGCCCTTTGCCATGCTGATGTTGCTACATGCCTTACTTCTTGCCTATCTCACACTGTGAATTTTTCTAAGCTCTATACTAAACATTAAATCTGTTATGAAAAAAAAACTAAGCAAAGTGAACACCACCGTAGCTGGAAAAAACGAATGAAAAAAGAATGTTAACAACAAATACTTTTTCACACTCAACCCAGTTCTGCAGAATCAGAATCAACATTGAGTTTAAGGAAGCGAATGAGCCAATTGGAGTAAAGTGCCATGCAGATTTAAATTTTTCCCACTTGTGACGAATGCAGCTATCGATTTTTTTGCATGCTAGTTAACATTCATGTCAGTCAGCTGTTTGCTCTCATGCTGGCCAACAGAATCTTCCTGCCTATATGTGGCAGCCAGCTATAGGCTCTCACTCTAGCCAGTAGAAAATGGCTGCAAACTACATGAAAACTGTCATAGAAGCATAAAAAAATCGATTATTTCCACTATGGGAGTTGGGAAATGCAAAGTCAGTCTTGGCCTTCCCGCTAACTTGGAGCATGTGCATGTAAATTTTGGTGCAAATCTGTCGAAAATTATATTTTTCAGTGTTTGATACAAAATAAATGTCTATTTTTAAGACTATATAAAGTTATTTTTATGATGGCATTTAAATATAATTTCATTTCTCTGGTTCAATAACTGGCTTGTATTTTTGTACTTAATTATTTTAATTTTTTCTTCCAGGCATAGTTTGCATCTGTTTATATATATATATATATATATATATATGAATTAAGATCAAATATAAATAGGAATGCAAGAGAATGATAGGATAAGGGACAAATAGGAAATCTTTATAAATCTGACATGCTTTGCTTTTATTAACACTTGAGATGTGGAGGCTTATTTTCCATGAGGGTCGGCCAGGTGAAGGTGCCAAGTGATATTTAGCTACCCCAACACGAGGGTTACATGTGGCACAAGGCCAGGTTTAACATGGGATCTCTTGAGCCCGTAGGCTTGGCCAAAAATATTGCTTGGTGGAAGAAATCGGCTGCGTTTATGTCGGCTCCGGTTAGCATCGTAGTCGGTTGGCAATACCTTTTGGTTGATGACTAAAAATTAACTTCCGCATTTTGACTGTATACATGGGTTTCATTTGGACACCATGTGTATATAAAGTAGTTTCCGGTTATTATTTTTAGTTAGGAGGACTTGTGTATGTTTGTTTCATTTGTTTTACTTTTTGTGCATCATTCTCTGAAAAAAATGCTGAGTCACTGGAAGTTAACGGCATTCGTTCTGTTTGCGGAGGTTTGAGTAGCCGGCAGTAACTTCCGGCTGGGTGTGATACCCTTACCTGTGCTTTCAAATTGATTTCATGCAAAAACAATTGTGTTTTTCCAATTTTTGGCACTGTCAGAACCACTACCGGGTAATTATACGTAGTCCTGTAAAGTTTTGTTGAAATCGGTTGAAAAATGTAGGAAATACGATCCCATATATAAACGAACAGACACACACACACACACACTATCTGCGTTTTATAATAAGTAAGATAGGTGGCTCACTCCAGCAGGCAAGCTAACACCCTGACCAGTCTGTCATTGCAAGTGAAGTTTGTAGTTATATATGCTGGGTTTCTCTTTGTCTCAGTTTGGCAGACAAAAGATAGTTCATCATAACTAGACTCATTTTCATGTCTTCACTTAAATGTGTCTGGCACAAATCTAGAACTGTCACAAAATACTTGAGAAGGGTTATGATTGGTTTATATTAGCCAGTCAACATCTTTATTTCATGTCAGTCTTGGCTGATAATGGATATGTTAACATAATTCATGCAAAGTTTAATTTTTTGGATTATCTCCCTTTATTTAGAGTTTACCCTTTTTATTATCTTTTTACCAGTTAATTTTCTTTTATTTGTTATACTATAATCTCAATATTTTCTGCCATCTCTCAGCCAGCTTCATAATTTCACCTTTGCACAGCTTTTAATCATTTCAGCAAGGAACTGCCTTTTGCAGTCTTCCAGAGAATTGAATTCTACTTTTTTTTTTTCATTTCTATTTTTTTAATCATTTCACTCCAGGCAAGGTAATAATGCCACTAAGACACAAGGGGTTACGTGAAATGAAAGAGAATAAGAAAAACTAGTGAGGAGAAAGGACAATAAAAGAACAGGGTTGAGGAAGACAGAAGATGGCAATTGATGTTTTATAACAGAAATATAAAAATTCCAATGTTTGCTACAAAGGAAAGTTTTTTTTAGCAGCATTTTAACCAGATGAGTGCTTATGGATTTTGTGACTTACAGATTTTGCAACTTATGGATTTTGCAACTTAATCTTTATTCAACAATATTTGGTTGATTTTTTTTAGCAGCATATCAACCTCTAAATATTTGTATGCAATTTTGTTTTGTTTTAGATAATAATGGTTTTAGTGATACAAGACATACTAATTAACCCATACCTGATGGGGGTGGGGGTAGGAGAAGAGATCGATTTATACCTTTCCCAAGTGTATTTGTGCATAAGTGAATATAACAAACCCAACTGAAATTGGAACTTAGCTCTCCGATTAACAATTCTGAACCATCCATTACACCACCCACATACCCAAAATTACAGCATCTGGTATTCCTATGCGGTCACTCATCTAGATACTGACCAGATTCAATGTTGCTTAACTTCGATGATCAGATGGGAACCAGTGTTTCAGCATGATGTGGCTGTAAGCCTTTTTTCAACAATAGGTCATAATGCCATATACATTATTCATTTTCACATGAGTTTTATTTTAAAAAGAAAATAGAAGGTAGTCTAGATTGTAGTCAAAGTAATTAATGTATGATAATTACTAGAATAAAAGATGTATGACTCTGAAGTTTGGTGTTTTTTTTATGACCAGCAGTAAAGTCTATGAAGTAGGATCTTCAAAGCTTCCAATAACTTGATTGGGGCTATTTTCATGGTTATCATTTTCATATATGTGGCAGTTTATTTTTGTCTATATGTAGACCAGCAGACAAGTTTTTTTAAGTTTTTGATTAACCATATAAAATAGATTTCTGAAAAGTTATATTTAAGTTTAATAAATATTTTTTTGATATTTTGGTAATTTTATTCAATATTTTATTTTCTTCATTCAATATTTAAGTTGTTTTTTTTTAATCATTTCCCACCAAGTAAGGAAATAAAGCCACTAAAACACAGGGGTTACTGAGTGTGAAAGAATATAAGAAAAGGAAAAATTATTCAAGAACAAGAACAATAAAAGAACAGGCAAAAAGAAAATGAAAGGTTAACATTGCATCAATATTAACATTAAAATTTTGAAAATCAAACTTGACTGGGAAGCAAGAAGTGGAAGAGAGTTCCATGAGCAAGAAAAGCTGTTAGCATAGAACTTATGGTTACATCTAGCCATTTCAACTGTAAAATGATAAGACCTAACTGCCAATCTAGTACTGCGCTTAAATTCATAAAGTCTAGGTATCATAGAGGCAAGTTCATCAGAACAATTACCATGAAAATATTTATAGGAAATGCACAGGGAAACTTCATTACAATGGTGGGAAAGTAACTGATGCCAAGATGCTAGGTTAGGACCAATAACATTGCAGAACCTTCTTTATAATTAATTGATATTTTAGCATTAACACTGGACTGTAGTTATAGTGTTTTGTACTGGTTGTATTTATGGTGATATGGATAGGTGTAACTTAGTATTATAGTGTATTTATAGTAAGAGCACAGAATTATGATTTTACTACAGAAATGCATTGTAAATGGTTTTATTATAAAAATGTACTGAAAACCAGGATTGTCAGTGGTCAGGAATTCAAGTGAAAGTTACTGATAGAAAATGATCTATATATATAAATATATATCATATAAATGTATTGATAATATATTTTGTTATGGTAAAGTATTGCAAATAATTTCAATATAGATATTGCATTGTAAAATGTTTTACTCCAGAAATGCATTGATAATCAAAAAAATGGATTGTCAGTGGTTAGAAATTAAAGAAAGCATTACTGTCAGAATAGGGATTTTTTTTACCAATTCTGTTGAAAATGGGAGCATATATGAATTTAATATTTTGTTATTACTATACTTTACTATTATTAGGTTTTCACATGTGAGTCTTTCAATGTTATTTCAAGCCATAAAAAAGACAATGACATATTTTATGTGTTTACTATTATTAGAAGCTTTAGAGATGGGACTTTTTAAAAATATTTTTCCAATTATTATTGTTGTACTATACTCTTATTCTACTCCACATATTTGCCCTGTTTGCCATTGCTATGCAAAAGACACTGCTACCTGGTATTGCCAGTGCAAAGGCGATAACTCTAAATGGTTACAGATTTACAAATACACATTGTCACATGGCATTGATAGTACAAGGGAAATAACTGTACTACAGAAAACAGTTACAGACAAAAAAGATACAAATACGTATTGTCATGAGAAGGACACTGCCACCTGGCATTGACTGTGCAATGGAAATAACTGTATTACAGTTACAAACAAAAAAGATACAAATATGTATTATCATGAGAAAGACACTGCCACCTGGTAGTGACTGTGCAATGGAAATAACTGTATTACAGGTAAAAACACAAAAAATGCCAATACATATCATCATGAGAAGGACACTGGCAATAAAAATCTGGGTTTATAGTTTCTCTTTCTCTCTTTATTTTTTCCTTTAACTCTTTCCTATATTTGTAAACAAAGCAGAATGAATTTACCTAATGAATGTTAATGATAATGTTAAAACTAGCATTTCAAGTTTCAGATAAAAGAAATCCTGTTAAATATAAATGTAAGACAGGAACAAGAAACATAATTCCGACAAAGTCAACTAAATTACTACTGAAATCAAATTCAGAAACATTGAACCTGTTCTTAGTCTATAAATACGTCTTTAGTCTAGGTCAGCTGCTGATGTGCTAACAGTTATTGCTGAAGGAATCTATCAAAGAAGGATGAAGCTTGGCTTTTTGCTTTCAATACCTCGAAGGCATTTGACAGGGTTTTGCATGCTGGTCTTCTTCACAAGTTGAAAATTTATGGCATTTCAGGACAAATTTTTGATTTGATTCAAATCATAAAATGAAAGTTGTCTTGAATGGCCACTCCTCAAAATCTTTTTACATTAATGCAGGTGTCCCCAGGTTTCTATCCTTGCATCTACTTTGTACCTAATTTTTATCAACAACTTTCCCAATGTCATCAGATCTTGACTTAGTATCTCTGCTGATGACACAACTATTTATTCCTGCTTTAATGGCAAGTCTGATACGTACAATAAGGTCAAATTGGCAGCTGATCTAAAAATGATCTATTGTTAACTGGGGCAAAGTATGGCTTGTTAATTTTAATGCCTCGAAAATGAAACTCTTCTCTTTTAGAGAACTTCTTTTTGCTTTCCATCGGCATAATTGATGCTAACTTCTAGCAGACTGACTCACTGCACCTTCTCAGGCTAATATTTTCCACTGACACGAAGTGGAATGATTTTATTGAATCACTTGCTAGGTCTGCTGCTAAGAAAGTTGGTTCACTACATCATTCTAGATAGTTTTTCTTACCAGAATCTATCTTACACTTTTATAAATGTACCATTTGTCCTTGCATTAAATATTACTGCCACATCTGGTCTGGTGCTTCTACTATTTAGAGATTCTTGATAAAAACAAAGAAGAATCTGCAATGTTATTGGTACTAACCTAGCAAATCAGCTTCAGTTACTTTTACACCACTGTAATGTAGCCTCCTTGTGCTTTTTCTGTAAATATTTTCATAGTAATTCTTCCAACGAGCTTTCCTCTTTGGTACCTTGACTTTATGAATTTTAGTGCAGTACTAGATTGGCAGTTAGGTCTCATCATCTTACAACTGAAATTGCTAGATGTAACCATAAGTTCTATGCTAATAATTTCTTCTCTTGCACTTCTCACTTGTGGAACTCTTTTCTGGATTCTTGCTTTCCAGTCAAATTTGAGCTTTAAAAATTTAAACATAATGTCAATTTTTATTTTCTGTATTAATTCTTGTTCTTTTATTGGCCTCTTTTCTTAATAATGTTATTTTTTCTCAGATTCTTTCACACTTGTGTCATAATGGATTTATTGCCTTGCTTAGGATGAAATGATAAAAAGAAAAAAAAAGAAAAAAGTAAGATTAAGTATAAAGAAAAGAATGTTACAGATATATTGAATGTGTGAATTCTGTCTACAGTAAATCCAGGTCAAAAATTGAACAGAAATCAATATTCCATCCAAGTATCTAGAAGTGAATGATATTTTGAAAGATTTTCCTTATATCATAAATAAAATAAAATAATAGAAAAGTGTTTGGTATTTTACTTGAATAGATTTCTCTAAATTAAGTTTGAAAAATGGACATATTAAAAAAAAGTACATAGTATTTAATATATGATATATACAAATATATTAAAACAAGAGAAAGAAGAGCAAAAACATTAAATAAAGGCATGAAAAAGTGCTTGATATTTTACTGGAATAAATCTCACTAAATTGTTTTAAAAATTGGTATATTAAAAATGTACATATATATAATTATTTACCTGCTGCCCCACACAGCAAAATGTGGCACAAGGCCGAGTTTTAAAGTGGGGTATCTGAGCTTGTAGGCTTGGGCAAAAATTCCCTAGACCATGTAAAAACAGAGTCAGTTTCCCGAGACAAGTCTCTGCCATTCGGCAGAGCCTTGTCTGGGGGATACCCTATGACATAAGCCAGGTAAGTATATAAAGTGATTTTCCTAGCGTAGCTCAGATGTGGCACAAGGCCGAATGTATAGCACACCCAGTGAGGATCGAACTCACTACTCAGATATAATTGTTCTAATGAGACAAGCTTGCTACCCATTACACCACCTCGTACATATATATAAATTATCAATACATTATCAAAAATTATTATACAATTTTTGGTTGAACATTTTACAGCATTTTTTGATTTACCATTTTACAGTATTTTTTAGGTTCATCCTTCATCTGGTTCACAATCCTCCCCAATCTTTTGAACAAAAAGTAAAGGTTTATTCCTTGTTTTTTTTTTTTTTTGTTGAGGATTACATTTCTGGTTCTTTCTAAAGTCTGCTTCAACTTCATATTTCTAACGTCTCCACCTGAACTCTGAAACTTTATTTACTATCTATTTATGTATCTTCTTCTCAATATATATAAGTATATAAGTTTGTCTATTTCTTTTAATTTCTTTTTTTAATTGTGTTATCTCACTTCAAGTAGTAAAGTCATACGAACTGATTTTATTCAAGGTCTTTCTTCATGTGAGGAACACATATGAACCAAGGACAAAATTACTCAGTCGTTGCAACCACTGTTATGCAGGTGTCAATACTACTATGACCCCAATTCTATTAGCGCAATGGGAAAAGTGTTCCTGCAGGGTTGTAATACCTGGGACCGGGCACCTTCACCCATCTAAAATGAGAACAGATACTACATTTAGTATTTACTTGCCGCCCCACACTGGCAGGATGTGACACAAGGTTATTTTAATGTGGAGAGCCAGAGTGTGTGCACCTGGGCCAGTTTCCAAAATAGCTTAACACCAGCATCCGTCAGTTGCACTGGCATTGGTATTACTACTGATCTCCGCTCTTTAGTGCAATGAAGGAGGTACTGCTGTGGACAGCTATTCCCTCAGACAGCTATTCCCAGACACCAC